CCTGCTGGGCTCTGGTGATCCTTCCGCCTCAGCCTTCCGAGTAGCCGGAATTTCAGGCATGCGCTACCACGCCCGGCTGATTTTTTTATTTATTGTAGAGATGAGGTCTCGCTGCCCAGGCGGGTCTCGAACCCGTGGGCTCAGGCAATCCACTCACCTCAGCCTCCCAAAGGCGCGGGATTACAGGCTGAGCCACCGAGCCAGGCACTATTTCATTTTAAAAGGTAATTTTCTTTCTTTCTTTCTTTCTTTTTTTTTTTTTTTGAGTTGGAATCTCACTCTGTCGCCCAGAGGAGTGCAGTGGCCGCTCCTGGCCACCGCAGCCTCGACCTGCTGGGCTCCGGCGATCTTTCTGCCTCAGCCTTCCAAGTAGCTGGAACTACAGGCGCTCACTACCACGCCCGGCTAATTTTTTGATTTATTATAGAGATGAGGTCTCGCCAAGTTGCCCAGGCGGGTCTCGAACCCGCGGGCTCAGGCAATCCACTCACCTCAGCCTCCCAAGGCGCGGGATTACAGGCTAAGCCACTGAGCCCGGCTAAAAGGTAATTTTCATAATAAATTTTTTAAAAAGAGAACGGGGGTTGACTGATAGGGTGGGGTTCCTGAGGAAGAGAAGATTTGGGGATCTTGAATGCATTCCACTCTCTCTGTCCTGTGTCCTCCCTCCCCCAACCAAGGTAGCAGACCTTGTTTCTTCACTTTTAGCAGTGGCCTCAACTTAATGCCTCCTAAGCTAGTAGGTTCAGTGACAACCAGTGACTTACAACTGCCCTCCCTTCCTCTCCCTCATTCCCCAGGCATCTAGCTGTTTGGAAGTCTGTGTTTCATTTCCTTCAGATGGACAAGATCTAAAGAGTAATCACCTTGTCCCATTGTCTGTCTTACCAGTCGATCATCAGAACCACACATCCCAGCATCGTGGACTGTGTGCTGAAGGTATTGGGCACCATGCACCTGGAAGTCCAGTATGAAGGTAGGAAGGCTACTCCAGATCTCAGAGGGTGGCAGCTGAGAGTGAGGCAGGTCAGCTCTCGAAAGCTTTCTCTTAGGGTCGCGCAATGTGGCTCACGCCTATAATCCCAACTCTTTGGAAGGCAGAGGTGAGAGGATTGCCTGAGTCTAGGGGTTCGAGACCAGCCTGGGCAACTTGGCGAGAACTTGTCTCCACAATAAGTTAAAAATTAGCCGGTTATGGTGGCGTGTGCCCATAGTTCCAGCTACTTGGAAGGCTGAGGCAGAAGGCAGGCCAAGGCTGCGGTGGCCATAATCATTCCACTGCACTCCAGCCTGGGCGACAGAGTGAGACTCCAACTCAAAAAAAAAAAAAAAAAACACAAGGTTTTCTCTTAGTCACAAAGAGTCTTGTTGTTGAGTGACCAGAATGGCCTTGGCAGATGGAAGAAACTGTTTCAGTATGCATCAATAAGTTCTTCAGAAAATAATAGTCATGTTCTGTGCTTCGAATCGATTGCTTGAACAGTTATTAGAATCTGCCTGGGGCCAGAAATGGCTCTGGTTCCCAGTCTTATGTTGTACTTCTCCCAAACAGAAATCACCTTGAGGAAAGTCCTTCCTCTAAGAAACTAAATTTCATCATGGTAGTATTAATAAGTTTTCATGTATTGAGTGCCCCAATGTGCCAGCCACTTTCCAATACATTTCACTTAATTCTCAAAATAACTGTAAGAACAAAGCCTGGCAATATTACATATTTGAATGTTTAAATAAGTGAAAGGCAGAAACAGGATTTTTGGCTGGGCTTAGTGGTTTAGCCTGTAATCCCAGCACTTTGGGAGGCCGAGGTGAGTGGATTGCCTGAACCCGCGAGTTCGAGACAAACCTGGGCAACTTGGCGAGACCTCATATCTACAATAAATAAAAATAAATTAGCTGGGCATGGTAGTAGTTCTGGCTACTTGGAAGGCTGGGCATGGTAGTAGTTCTGGCTACTTGGAAGGCTGAAGCGGAAGGATCGCCGGAGCCCAGCAGGTCAAGGCTGCGGTGGCCAGGAGCATGCCACTGCACTCCAGCCTGGGCAACAGAGTGAGACTCCAACTCAAAAAAAAAAAAAAAGAAATAGTATTTTTATGTTTTTCAAGACCAAACATTGAAGCACAGAGAAATTAAGTATGCTCCCCAAATTTACACAGCTAATGGGATTCAAACCATCTCTGCCTAACTCTAAAGTTTATGCTTTCAACCTATAGTACATGGCAGGTTTTTGTTTGTTTGTTTGTTTGTTTTGAGTCAGAATCTCATTCTGTCACCCAGGCTGGAATGCAGTGGCATGCTCAGGGCCACCACAGCCTCCACCTGCTGGACTCAAGCGATCCTTCCATCTCAGCCTTCCAAGTTGCTGGAACCACAGGCATGTGCCACCACACCCAGCTAATTTATTTTTTTTGTAGAGATGAGGTCTCACCATGTTGCCCAGGATGGTCTCGAACCCCTGAGCTCAGTCAGTCCTCTCGCCTTGGCCTCTCAAAGTGCTGGGACTACAGGTTTGAGCCACCGCACTCAGCCTCAGCAGGTTTTTAAAGAATATCATTTCCTTCTCTTGTCCTGTAGTAGTTCAGAGAAGGGAGATTCTGTTTTTAACAGGAAGGATCAAGGAGGGGTTTACCAAGAAGGTGGTATTTGAACTGAGCCCTGAAGAATGGGAAGGATTGTAGAAGGTAGAAAAGGGCAGAGGAGGATTCTGGAAAGGAGAATAGTGGAAAGGAAGGTGTGACATAGGGAAGTACAAGGTGTGTCTGGAGCATGATAGGTGAAGATCGTTAGGTGAAGATCTGGTAGAGGTCTAGATCTAGGAACAGGTAGGCCAGGAGCAGATGGAGGAGCACCTTGAGTGCCAGAGAGTAGCTGGTACTCTATCCAGCAGGCAGCATGGAGCCACTGAAAAGAGAGCTGTTGGCGGGCACAGTGGCTCACGCCTATAATCTCAGCACTTTAGGAGGCCAAGAGGATTGCCTGAGCCCACAGGTTCGAGACCAGTCTGGGCAACTTGGTGAGACCTCATCGCTAACAATAAATCAAAAAATTAGCTGGATGTGGCAGCGTGGGCCTGGAATTCCAGCTACTTGGAAGGCTGAGGCAGAAGGATCACCTGAGCCCAGTAGGTTGAGGCTGCGGTAGCCGTGAGTGTGCCACTGCACTCCAGCCTGGGTGACAGAGTGAGATTCTGACTCAAAAAAAAAGAAAGAAAAAGGCCAGGCTCGGTGGCTCAGCCTGTAATCCCAGCACTTTGAGAGGTGGAGGCAAGAAAGATTGCCTGAGCCCAGGGGTTTGAGACCAACCTGGGCAACTTGGTGAGACCTTGTCTCTACAATAAAAAAAAAAAATTAGCTGGTCATGGTGATGCATACCTGTGATTCCAGGTTGGAAGGTTGAGGCAGAAGGATTGTCTGAGCCCAGCATGCCACTGCACTCCAGCCTGGGTGACAGAGTGAGACTCTGACTCAAAAAAAAAAAAGAATGTACTAGTCTAGCTGGATGCATAGGTCCCGGGAAGAGAATGGACACAGCACAGGGAATTACCTGCATGTGGATAATGAAGGGCAGAGCCAAGAAGGCCAGGACAAAGAGACCCATTAGGCAGGGACGGTCTAGGCATCAGTACATATCGGGACACCTGTGCCCAGGATGACGGGCTGAACCCAGATCCAGGAAGCCTGAGAGGGGCATAAAGAACAGACAGGTCCTAGGGTTCGGGTCTGCAAGTGAGACCTGGAGAAGGTCAACAAAAGTCTATGGGCTCACTTCCAGCATTTATATTTTGGCAGCAGTGTTGAAACTGAAGGTCAGTCATGTTATTCCTTCAATAGCATGATCAGTGTTGTATCCGTTTGACCTGTGCTGGTCTGTGTGCATATGTGGGCATTGTATGTTGAGAAACAACACTATGTTAAAATCTATTACCGGCTGGAGCAGGGTGCTCCTGGTGAGGAAGAGTTGACAGGGGAGTGACAGAGGGACCTAACAAAGGGTCAGGCCCAGGAGCAGAGGGTTATTGCTGGTATTGGAGCAAGAGGGTGACCTGGCAGCAGAAGCATGTTAGGAAGCTTAACCAAGCAACCCCAAAGAAACAAGACCAGGTAGCACTGCGACCTTCCTCTCCCCACCCCACTTCCATGTGGCACACATGGCCACTCCTATTCACCTATCACTTCTCATTTTAAGCATGATCTCTCTAAGGCCTTCCCTGACCCTGCCTTCCACTCCTACCTGAATGTTAGCCCTCCTTCCTTTGAACCTGTCTCCCTTCCAGTACCTCCCTCCTTTTCAGCAGTTATCTCCAAAATGGTAACTTCCCTTTACATAGACTGTGCACACTTTCAGTGCAGCTATCATGGCTCTTATCCTCCTTAGCATATGCTAGGTCCTCATTACATGGTTTGAATGAATGGCTGAGTGAGTGAACACTGCGCGTACACACTACACTAGTGATTACTTGTCTGTATACCTTTCTTCTCCAGACCTCTGAGCAGCTCCAGGGCAAGGACTGGGTATTATTCATCTTTTTCCAACTCAGGACCTGAAACATAATGGGTGCCCAGTAGACGTTCTTGGAATAAATTTATGGGGAAAAAATGATTTATGCTGATAAAGAGTTGGGTCTTGACCCGGTTTTCCCCAATACTGGCCCAATTTAGAGTCCCTCTGCATTTATACAATAGCAGCTAACACTGTGGTAAGGCAGTAGGAACATGATGTTTTGTTGATGCTTTTTTGGTTTGACATATGCCCATGTGATAGCAGTGAACCTGTGTGCCTCAGAATAATTTCAGATATGCCAGACTCATAAAAAGTGCTCAAGAATTGTCTGTTGAATGAATGAATTATTTTTTTTTTTACCAAGCATTTCAAAAGTCTTTCTAATATAGAGACTGCATATGTAAAGATTGTCCACTAGGGGGAGCCATTTCACATGATCTGTGTAGATTGAAGTGAAGTGAACATACCTGTTGAGTTTCCACTGAAACTCCTCCTGAGCAGGAAGGGAACATGTTGACTGTTCTTAAATGTCCTGACAGTGACTGGAGAGGATCAGAGGACAATTTGTTTGAGATTGAGTATACCAAATGGCAAAACCAGAGTGGCGTTCCCAGGATGATGGCAACAGTTAGAGCGTAAAAGAAGCCTATGAACAAGAGGACTCTGGATGACATGATGAGAAGAGTTAGTGGGTGACATGGACTAACCTTAAAAGGGCATGGCTTGTTTGTCTTTTAGAACAAATGTTTATTGAATATCTGTGGCGTGCCAAGAGCTATGCCAGGTACTGGGGGATTTTTTGCGTTTGTTTCTCTTTTTAAAAAAATTTTTTACTTTAAAGATGTGGGGTATTGGCCAGGCTCGGTGGCTCAGCCTGTTATCCCAGCAATTTGGGAGGCCGAGGGGAGTGGATTGCCTGAGCCCATAGGTTCGAGACCAACCTGGGCAACTTGGCGAGACCTCGTCTCTACAATAAATCAAAAATTAGCCAGGACATGGTAGCACACACCTGTAGTTCTGGCTACTTGGAAGGCTGAGGCGGAGGGATCACCATAGCCCAGCAAGTCGAGGCTGCAGTGGCCGAGAGCGGCCACTGTACTCCAGTCTGGGCGACAGAGTGAGACTCCAACTCAAAAAATAAAAATAAAAAATAAAATAAAAATAAAAGATGTGGGGTACAATTCAGGGTCAGGTGTACAAATGTTCATTATGCATTTATTTATATTGAGAAGGAGAAAAACTGAATGTCTTGGAAGAAGGAGGGTAAGGGAAATGCCTACTCTGCCTCCCATGCTGACTGTGGGTTTGGGGTGAGATGTTGACATTCTTCCCCTGAGAAGGCTACAGGGAAAGTGGAATTCTCAGGGAAGAGTACAGTGAAACAGGAGGAGAGAAGCTTAGGTGCCTGGGGATTGTGGGTGTCAGTGATGGAGGAGTCAGTGATGGATTGTGGGTGTCAGTGATGGAGGAGCCAGCTGG